ATAGTTTTCAGTTTTAATTTTAATAAAGCTTAATTCTTTATTTATTAAATAGTGAAAAAATCTAAAGAGCTATAGTACAGAACAGAGACATTTAAATACATAATTAATGTTAAACAAATTACAAATAATTTAATAATAAAATAGAAATTAATCAGTTCTAAATTATTAATCTTAAAGGTGACGTGTCTTCAAATTATGCTGTACTTAATGAATATGTATGAAATATAAATAATAATTAATACGAATTAAAAATAATAAAATAAAAAGAAAAAGAATGAATAAAAATAAAATTAAAAACAATATGTACCCAAATTAATAATATGATCTATATTTTACATCTAATCTAATTAGCAAAATGTTAAGAAGTATTAATGTAGATCTGTGTTAATTTCTAACATGTTATGCAAGAAATGATAAATATAACACGAAAAAAAATAGATATGATACAAGAAATTACAAGGGTATATGAAAATTGTTACAGAAATAGAAAAAAATAAAATATTATCGAACTAAATACGCAATTCAAATATCATTATGACTAATTTTTATTATAACTGTATCTTCTGTTCACATGTTCTTATATTAAATTATTGTCGATATTGAATCAGTAACAGCATTAAGAAAGTCAAAAACATATTGATTAGTTAATTAATTATTATATTTATCTAAAATTTGTTTCAATTCATAAATATCATTAGTTATTGCTGTTTGTAAAAAGAAATATAATTAAAGATTATTATCATTATAGTTACTCAAATATAACATCAATGTGCATATCAGATGTGATAATACTTGAGTGTTATTGGTTGGATAGTTTAAATAATCACGTGATCCGAAGTCATTCTGATGGATCGGAAGGTCGGCAATGATCGATAAAGTCACGTGGACCGCAAATGCGGTGGTCACCTGGCAGAGTCGTGTTATCGTGGTTTTATCATGGATAATCTCGGTAGAAATTTTCCTATAAAATCTATATGCATCGTGGTTGAATCGCAATGTGGACCAATGATCACCTGCGCTTATTAATCGACGAGAGAAAAAATGGGAACGTCGAATATTACGACATCACGGGTATTAGTAGAGAGGATTTTTGGAATAGCGTCGCAAATAAGATCAATAGGCAATTTAATACCACTTACACCAGATATCAATGCAAGGGAAAGTTCCAAAGTCTCGTAAAAGACTATAATGTAAGTATTTTGGGGAGGTGGACAACTTATTCTACAATTGTATTTCCAACTATCTCTTACGATGGGGTTATTACTAGTCGATGTGCCAGTATATGGCGGGTAGTAGTTCTAGTAAGAGAAGCAGGACGGGCGAACGATATTTTGAGGAATTCAATTAGAAAATAATATAGATATTAATTTCTGATTAACGTTAACCAATCATATATAAGTTTGGGTAGTACATAAATGATAAAAATAATTTCGTTAAAAAATTTACTTTCACATATTCATTTTCTTGGCTTGATATTATGCACTTGCTTCCTGAGTGCCTTGTTGCTTTGAAGTATCCTGGTAAGGCAAACTGTACACCCGTTTTCTTATGACAATGCTTTATAACATAACCTATCATTTGTGATTATGTAGCCTTTTGGATGAGCCTTCGCTCAAGAAATTTTTAGATTTTCGACTTTCGGCTGGCGACTTAGAAGAATCAAAAGTTGAATACGCTCAGTATAATAATGAAATAACTACCATCAGCAGATTTTACGCCGAAGCATCAGCATTTGGCCAGCAAGTATCAAAATGGAAAAATGATTTCAAGGAAAGTCAATTGTATTATTTTATTGGATCAGAAACCTGAGTACACCAACTACCCTTCAAACCGTCGTGTTTGTAGTGGGAACGACTGTCATGTCTGTTGGTGAGTTGCTCTACGAATCACCTTGAGACTCTTCGTACCATTGAGTACACTAACTACTCTGCAAACCGTCGTGTTTGTAGTGGGAACGACTGTCATGTCTGTTGGTGAGCTATACTTAATGGACTTTGGGACCCATGGTGCTCGCGAAAGATAGATATTCAATAATTGAATGATACTACCTGGGTGCTTGTTTGTTCGTGATGTTCCTATTTTTATTTGCATTTGAATAGGACAAATTACCAAACGAAGTCTATTAGGCACATTTACTTAGAACTTTTGTTTTATCATCACTAATAGGAAAGTAAATGGTCATCAGTAATAAAGAGATTTTGGAAGCTTCAGAATGAAAACCAAAATATTATGATGAAGAACAAGTTGATTGAGGAAAAAATCATTGCGCTAGAGGAAAAGGCAAAGGCGAAGGTTCGAAAGTTGCAGGTACTTCACTCATTCTCCTACAATCCAACGTGCTAGACCAAAACATTCACTCTTGATCCATTTTCCGTACACAGACAGCCCAACACGTAACCATTACCACAGTAGCGACAGAACAAATTCAACAATACGCCAAGTCAACCACCGCCAGCATCGCGAAGAGGTTCCTCGATAATGATAACGAAAAAACAGCAAAACGTACTAGAACTCATAAGGTGATAACTGTTATTGGGTTTTATTGTTGTGGACTACGTTTTCAAGTTTGACCACTAACAAAATTCTAATCGATTACTCTTTGTAATACGAACAGGACCAGCCAGATGAGGACGACTCTGAAAGTGACGAAGACCGTGACTACCTCGATGATGGTGAAAAATCCCCATGGTAATGATGTGTTACTTTGTTTTTAACTACACCTAATTGTGCTCTGTATTCTGCATCTGTCAATCATTTTGTATTCTTAGACGACCCATGAAGAAACTGATGATGAGATCGAGAATCAGAAGCATGCAAGATCCCAAAGCGAGTAAGTACAAAATGCAACTCTTTGAGATATGTATAGCCTGCAATAATTCTTGTTATCCCAGCCTATTAGGTAGAAATGACGTGAAAGATGGTAAGGAGGCCTTTTTTTTTGTTGCTTATTCAGATACCTGATCCATAGATTTTGGCTGTTCCTGTTTATTACGCAAAAGGAACTCGAACTCCACCCCACCAAACCCTTTCGAGTTGGCTATCTCTCATTCCTCAAAAATCTCAAACAGGGAAAGCATCCGTAGAGCTTCCGCTGAGAGTCTAGCAAGTCTGGATGGGGTTAAGGTATTTGTTTTGAAGATATTGCTCGAACTTACCTGTTGGTGCGTGTGAAGAATGCTCAATGGTTCTCTTTGAACAGTATTTCAGAGAATTTATTCCGCTTTTCGAAAAATACAAAGAACAGGAAAAACATAATGTGTACTCGTAAGTATTTGAACTACATTATTTTAAAAGAGGGTACCATATAGTGCTATGTGAACCTTTGCTCAATGTATAGTTGCACCAACGACGATGTTATGGACATCCGAGGTGACAGTGGTTTCGCGAAATTTTTGACAATCGATCAATATACGAAACTGCTTTCAGTTCGACCAAAAAGAAATGCTGTGCTACCAGAATTTTGGTGTAGAATTATAGAGGAATATTACATGGTAATTATATGACTCGTGTTTAACAAGTTTACAAAACAGTTATTCATAGATATATTATGTTATTTTGTAGGAGTCATTAACTGAAGGCGGCCCAAAGAAAACCATTACTGATTGGGTTCACATCACATATGCGTTGATTGTAGACAAAGTTGGAGATACTGAGGGGGTGAAGAGACTTAAAAAGTACCTGCATCGAGTAATGTTACCTTTGTAAGTATTGGTTAAGGTTTTATTATCATTTCATTTCCTATTGTAATATTCCACGTCTCATCTTGTGTTGTAGAATCGAATCATTCCTTAAAACCTATTCCGGACATCAGTGCTCCAGACTTTAATGAACATCACTATTGGTCAGAGTTCGGACATCATTTTTTCTCTAAGGCTTTACAAGAATTTGCAGGACTGGATTGGCGAGCGTAAGTATTAGGTTTAAATAGAAATATCTTATCATTATTTTCAATTAGATCTTCTTGAAATTTATTCTTATATTCTTTTCAGCATGGAGGTTCCCGTATTTGCATCTAAATACAAAAAAAACCATGGACTTGATCATGCAATACATAAAGTAGTTGATAGAAAATTTGCCGATCTATTGGCCCGGTCTTGGGAGACGGGAGGAGAATCTTTATCGGAGAGCAAGCAGGGCCTCCTACTAAACCTGACCTTACGAAGCTCTCTATGGATTCTTTCAAATTATATCGAGAATTGAGAGATTGTTTGAATGTTCGCTTATTATATGCAATGGAAATCGGGGATGTTAACTACAGTAATCGTGCTGTATTTGGTATACTTGGATATTTGTTCGAAATCAAGATGTTAATTATGTGGAAGGATGGTGTATACGTATATGAGGAGTTTGGGAGTTTCACTGTTGCTTCTCATTCGAGCAAGATTCATATGATGAAGGTGGGTATATTAAAATTACTAGAATTCATCGTAAGTTTATCTTTTACATCTTTTGATTTTTCAGTTATTCATTCTGAATTAATTATGTAAGGTGGAGTCAGAAAGTACCGTGAAAGTAGAACATGATAATGACAAAGTTCAGATTTTGAAAAGAAAGTTTAGTGACATTATTCAAAGAAAGCCATCGCAATTAAAGGTCGCAAAGCAGTGAATGCTTTTATCAAGGCCAATGTAAGGCTATGAAGTATATTTTTTCCCGTGATTCTAATTCAGAGGATACAGATGCGATGTAATTTTTTTTTTCTATGTAATTATGTGTAAGAGCATACGTCACAGTTCAGTCGCGTAGTTAATTAAAATTCAGAAAAATTTTCTTAGCATTTTTTCGAGACGGCCCGTCCCACAAATTTTAATCGCGTGAATAACTTCCATGTCTGCACGATAAAAAGATTTTGAATAAATCTACACCTTATATAAAAGTTATTAATAAACATGTCATCAGAGCTTGAATCTCGATCCAAAACCAAAACAAGATAAAGAAGAAATCGAGGTGAGATTTGTAAAGCTAGAGCAAAGCGACAAAGAGAATGTTGATCTTAGAGCTGAAGTAGCAAAATTAAGACATGACATTGAGAAAATCAAACTACAAATCCAAGTTAATACTAATGAACAGGATATGCCTTTTACAGGAATTACCTGAACTAGAACATTGCTCGGCAAAATCTAAATCTCCAACTGAGCCTGAACCATCCGCAATCTCTGCCACAAGAGATTATTGATGACGATTCAGTTGAGATCCTAGATTTTGTAGAAATAAAACATAAGGAATATGTTAGTAACGAAATAATAGAGAAAATTAGGAAAAAGAAGCTTCAAGATCAAAAGGCACTTTCAACTTCTCAAGATACTCATTTTATTATTATTTCTGAACAGAAGAATAATCAATCAAAATCTCAGAATGCATTTTCTGACTTGCTTCAAACTTTTGTCTTACAGAGTAATCAATCCAATATTTTTGAGATAAAACTTAATTCACCAGAGCTCAAATTATCTACTAATAATCAAGCACTCACACAAAGTGCCATTTCTTCTGAACTAGATGTCATTCTTTCTAAAATAAAGATCTCTTATAATCAGAAAGTTGAACAGGATTTAATATGTGAGCTATTTGAATTTATTAGAAATATAGATTTTATATCTTTATGAGATCTGAATAAAACTCTTCTGAATAGTATATATAGCAAACAAATTTCAGACATTCCTATCAGTATTGATCAAATACAAGATTCTATACCTTATTTAGTTTATTTATTTGACAAGATTGAAAAAACTGGTTGAAAAAAAATTGTGTTGATATTATTACAGTAAAAAATATAAAAAAAAGATTATAATTATTAGTTCAGAAAATAATATGAATGATCAAATAGCAAAAACACAAAATTTATGATAAAATGATATCATATCTATTTGGTATTAAGAAAGAGTATTTGCGCAAAATGACTTAAAAAACCAAAATTATCTATACATTATTCAAAAAGATAGGAATAGATAAAATTAGGATAGTTACATATAGTATTGATGCTATTTCTAGTTTGACAGGTGCACAAATAATTCAAAACATAATAAATTTTTTCATTGAAGAATTAAATACAAAAGTATTCTCACTTGGTAAAATTAAATCTCAAAAAGTGATTAGTGTAAAGAATTTTTTACATTATTATGAGTGAGTTTTTAGGGTTGAGTACTAAATTAATATGAATAATATTATACTAAAATAGCTAAACTCAGTCATAACATGAATTTATTTGTTAACGAATATGCATTATTTTATTATTATTACTAAAAGATATTGTGAATTTTATTAGTATGATTAAATCCTAAGTGTATTTTATATTTTTAGTAATGTAAATGTTATAAATCAAAATATAATAAATGTATATATAATATTATCAAGGTAGTATTAATGCATGTAAGATAATTTTGTTGTATTTAATAAATGCAAAGTGTAATAGTATTATTTAAGTATAGTATTATTTAAGTATTTTATTTAAGTTATTAATTGAATTAATTATTATAATTTTATTATGTTGAATCTAATTGATTACAACTTGACTTTCTATAGTTACAAAACCAGCTATATTTATATATTTTTTGATACAAAATTATTGAACAGTTAATAATAGTTAAGTACAGCTAATTATAGTCAATTATAATTAATAATAGTTAAATATAGACAATAATAAACAATAATGGATAATAAAGGATAATAAAAATAAAATTAGATAATTTCTAGTCAATTATAGTAATTCTGATTAATTATGATAAATTTGAGTAAATTATAAGAAATTATAAGAAATTATAAATTATAAAAGTTATAATAATAATTAATAAGTAATAATAATTAATAAGTTACATATAAAATCACATATATAAGTCACATATAGAAATTACATGTCTAAATCACATGTTATATATGAAAATCACATGATTTCAAATTCATCCAATAAGAATATAATAAATTAAATAATTAAATAATAAATAATTAAATTAATTAAATTAAATTATTAAA